TGGATGGATGGATGGATGGATGGATGGATTGGATGGATGGATTGGATGGATGGATTGGATGAATGGATTGGATGGATGGATTGGATGGATGGATTGGATGAATGGATTGGATGGATGGATGGATGGATTGGATGGATGGATGGATGGATGGATGGAATGGATGGATGGAATGGATGGATGGATGGATGGATGGATGGATTGGATGGATGGATTGGATGGATGGATGCCAGGGGTTCCCAACCGGGAGTGCGAGATGAGATTCCAGGGGGTGCAAAAACTTGGGTTTTCAAAATTATAGTGTCCGTGCATAATTGAGCTTCAATGGGCTCCAGAAGATAGTAGAGGACAGGAAGGCCTGGAGGAACGTTGCCCATGGGGTTGCGACGGGTCGGGCACGACTTCGCAACTAACAACAACAACAACGTGCATAATTCGTTGCCGTTATTTCGAACTTTTGTAAGGGGCGCGAGAATATATCAGAAGCGTTCTAGTGGTGTGGGGTATAGAAAAGGTTGGGAGCTGCTGATGTATGTGTGTGTGTATAATATATGTGTGGGTGTTAAATTTATTGGCTGCTCATCTTATCATAGAGGAACTCTGGGTGGCTTACAATTACATCTTAGTTAAAACATAAAGTGTTAAAATGAAACCTTACAGCCAAAGACACTCCTCCTCCTCCTCCTCCTCTTCAACTCCTTTCTAGCACTGATGATATTACCTAGTTGGGTAATGAAACGTCTGCAAAAAAACAGCCGAGCTCAGAGAGCACCAGGGACCCCACACTCCTCCTCTTCCTCCTCCTCCTCCTCCTCCTCCTCTTCCTCCTCCTCCTCCTCCTCAACTCCTTTGTAGCACTGATGATATTACCTAGTTGGGTAATGAAACGTCTGCAAGAAATCAACCAAGGTCAGAGAGCACCAGACCCCACAGTTCTCCTCCTCCTCCTCCTCCTCCTCCTCCTCCTCCTCCTCCTCCCCAACTGGTTTGAAAATATGTATTTTTGTTGTTGTTGTTGTTTCAACGACTAGATCGAGTACGACAAGAAGAAAAAAGAGGACGGCAAGCGGGCCCGAGCCGAAAAGCAGCAGGTGTTGGACATGCTCTTCTCTGCTTTTGAGAAACACCAGTATTACAATATTAAAGACCTGGTGGATATAACTAAACAGCCCGTGGTAAGTCAACCCTAAAAATAAAATATGAGCCGAAACCACAAATAGCTTCATTGGGTTCAATCCCAGAAAACATAAATGAAAAGCATCGCTGACAGTTGCAAGGACAAATTATGTACAGTGTTGCAAAAGAGGAATCCTAGAATTGCACAGAACCCCCGGGCTGGGAGGGACCTCAGAGGTCCCCTAGTCCACCCCCGTGCCCAAGGCAGAAGACTTTATTCCACCCAGGTCCAGTCTCTTCTGAAAGCCTCCAGTGATGGAGCATTCACTGCTTCTGGAGGCAAGGAGTTCCACTGGTTAATTGTTCTCACTGTCAGGAAGTTTCTCCTTAGTTCCAGGTTGCTTCTCTCCTTGAATTAGTTTCCACCCGTTGCTTCTTGTCCTGCCTTCAGGGGCCTTGGAGAATAGTTTGACTCCCTCTTCTTTGGGGCAGCCCCTGAGATACTGGAAGACTGCTATCATGTCCCCCCTCGTCCTTCTTTTCATTAAACTAGACATACCCAATTCCAGCAACTGTTCTTCATATATTTTAGCCTCCAGTCCAGGAAGTTTCTCCTTAGTTCTAGGTTGCTTCTCTCCTTGGTGAGTTTCCATCCGTTGCTTCTCGTCCTGCCTTCGGGCGCTTTGGAGAATAGCTTGACTCCCTCTTCTTTGGGGCAGCCCCTGAGATACTGGAAGACTGCTGTCATGTCCCCCCTCGTCCTTCTCGTGCCCACACCCCAATTTGGAAGCATCCGTAGATGATAGTTCCCCGTGTAATATTGTTGTCACGCTAAATTTCCCCACCAGTTGAACAAAGAGATCTCTGCAGTGAGTTATTCTGCAATTACCTTCCGTGAAGTAGGCTTAATCACACTGCGTATTTTGCATCAGTCCCCTTGACGCTCCCGTCTTGAAGGGTCTGGAGTTGTGACTGTTTAGGAATCGGTTGCCGTAAATTGAAATGTTACTCCTGCAGCTGTCGGCCAGTTGCTCTAGAACAGAGGAACCCAACCTTTGGAGCACCAGGGACCGGTTCCGTGGAGGGAGGTTTTCCCGCGGACCGGAGGGTGCGTGGTTTTGTGTACTGCCTGCATCTCGTGGGTGTTACTTTGTGTGTTTGTGTGGACTGGTTGCTGGTAGGTCGCGGCCTGGTACCGGTTGACGGACCTGGAGCTGAGGACCCCTGGACTAGATGATCGCTTAGGACAGAGGCCCCCAACTTTTTGGGCACCAGGGACCGGTTCCGTGGAGGAAGGTTTTTCCACGGACCGGAGGGTGCGTGATTTCGTGTGCTGCCTGCATCTCGCGGGTGTTGCTTTGCGTGTTTGTGTGGACTGGTTGCTGGCATGCTGCGGCCCAGTACCGGTCCACGGATCCCTGGAGTAGATGATCGCTTAGGACAGAGGTCCCCAACATTTTGGGCACCAGGGATCGGTTCCGTGGAGAGAGGTTTTTCCATGGACCAGAGAGTGCATGGTTTTGTGTGCTGCCTGCATCTCACAGATGGGGCTTTGCTTGTTTGTGTGGACCAGTTGCTGGCATGCTACAGCCCGGTACCGGTCCACCAACTGGGGGTTGGGGACCCCTGTTATAGATGTCTCTAGTCCAGAGGACCCCAATCTTTTGGACACCAGGGACCGGTTCTGTGGAGAGGTTATTCCGTGGACCGGAGAGTGCGTGGTTTTGTGTGCTGCCTGCATCTCGTGGATGGGGCTGTGCTTGTTTGTGTGGACCGGTTGCTGGCATGCTGTGGCCCGGTATCAGTCCATGGACTGGGGGTTGGGGACCCCTGTTATAGATGGCTCTAGTCCAGAGGACCCCAATATTTTGGGCACCAGGGACCGGTTCCGTGGAGAAAGGTTTTTCCATGGACCAGAGGGTGCGTGGTTTCGTGTGCTGCCTGCATCTCGCGGGTGTTACTTTCCTTGTTTGTGCAGACTGGTTGCTGACATGCCACGGCCCGGTACCGGTCTACAGCCACGGGGGTTGTGGACCTCCGCTCTAGAGAAGGCAAATTGTAGATACTTGTTTTATTTCTCCGTGCCGAAGTGCGGCTCTCAGCCTCGCCTCGGGCAGCTCCCGTTCCAACTCCTTCACCTCCTACAAACTAAGAAGCTGACTAATTGTTTTGTTTCTCCGTGACAGATATTGATTTTGCTCCTCTCGGTAGAAAGTCAGGAAAATAGGAGAATATCGACGACGACGCAGCCAGCTGAGCCGGTGTGGGAGGGATTTGACGGGGCGTCTAACGGATGGAGAAAGCGGGAGCGTTCATTTCGAAGGATAAACAGAGACGGGAACTAATCAAAAGTCTGCCCAGTTTCCTACCTGTCTCTCTTTCCGACTGACGCTGCGGAAGGACGCCAGCCGTCGCTAGCGCTGGGCGGGGCTCCGCAGGCAGAATTTTATGCGTTGCGTAGTGGGGGGTCATCCCCTGACCTACAGCCACAGTCGTGGCCCAGAATTTACGTTGCTAAGTGAAAAGAATTTGTTTACCAGGGTTTTGCCCCGTTTTACGACCTTTGGGGCCAGTGTTGTTAAGGTGAATCGCTGCGGTTGTTGAAATAGTAACCCCGTTGTTAAGCGAATCCAGTGGACTCGGCTTGGCAGAAGGTCGCAAAAAGGGGATCATGTCACTCTCTCTCTCTCTCTCTCTCTCTCTCTCTCACACACACACACACACACATACACACACACACAGACACGGGACACTGCGACCGTCACAAATGTGAATCGGTTGTCAAGCGCCCGAAGGTAAATCACGTGACCCTGGAGGTGCTGCAGCGGTCGTAAGTGCGAAAAGTGGTCCTTTTTTCAGTGCCATTGTAACTTTGGACGGTCACTAAACGAGGACTACTTGCACGTAGTACCCACTGGACGTCTTCAGAGGTTCTTAGGCTCCACCCATCACCCAGGAGTTTACTTTAAGGTGTGGCTGTGTTGTCGAAAACGCTTGATGCTTCTTTCTGTTGGGTTGTGTGAGACGAGACGAGCTGTGAGACCCTCTTGAGACGTGATAGTGTTATCTGCGCGACCACCAACCCCCTGGATATAAGTAGCTCCTGCCTGCTAACACTGTCCAAAATACACACACACACACACACACACACACACACACACACACACACACAATGTTTGGCTTCTGGGGTCGAGAATATTACTGTTCTGCTCTTTGGCAGGCACCATCACTTGTAATATCTGTAGTAACTGACGAAGGGTCCTAAGAACGCAGGTCACAGGGCGGTTGAAGGCAAGAACGATTGCGCTGAAGTTGTGTGGCTGGTGTAACCTTGGATTGTTTGGCCGGGCCAGGAAGGAGGGAGTGTTACTTGTTGCACTTGAGGATGTTCTCAGACTTGTGGTGTTCCTGCGTGAGCTGTGTGGTCTGGAATTGCCATCCTGGATCTCCATGCTTTTGATAGGAACCCATGTGAGACCATCCCTTCCTCTTTCCACGTTCTTCTACCTTCATCATGCGTGTTCTTTGAGATCATGGATGGCTCCTCCTCCTCCTCTCCCCCCTTTCCTCCTCCTTCCCCTCCCTCTCCTCCTTCTCCCCCTTCTCTCCTCCTCCTCCTTCCTCTCCTCCTCCTCCTCCTCCTCCTCCCCCCGTCCTCCTGATGATGTTCCCTAGTTGGGTCATGAAACACCTGCAACGAAACCACCAGACTCATAGCATACTGAGGACCCCACATTCTCCTCCTCCTTCTCCTCCTCCTCCTCCTCCCTCTTCCTCCTCCTCTTCCTCCTCCCTCTTCCTCCTCTTCCTCCTCCTCTTCCTCCTCCTCCTCCCCTCTCCTCCTGATGATGTTCCCTAGTTGGGTCATGAAACATCTGCAAGAAAACCCCCAAGCTCATAGCATACTGAGGACCCCACATTCTCCTCCTCCTCCTCCTCCTCCTCCTCCTCCTCCTCCTCCTCCAACAAGTGCAGGTGATCCTCTTTGTTTTCTAAATCAACTGAGTGTCAATCCATTAGTTGTAACAGGGCCTACATCCAAACAAGTGATAAATACAGGTCTACTTAATTAAGCCTCCATTTTACTTGAAGCACCCAGTTGCAGCTCCAACCTATTTAAATTGGGACGTTCCTGCTCTGGAAAGCACATTTTCTTCTAACGGTATTTTTTTTCTGCTTGGCGAGACCAGGCAAGTGAAATGTCCTTTAATTAATCAGTTCCTCCTAATTGCTGGTTTCATCACATTGTTTCTGTCTTTCCTTTTCTTCCATAATGGCAAAAGCCTGTTTGGCTGCAGAAGAAAACCGAAGTAGAGGAAGACAGTCATTACAGAGAGGGGGGGAGAGAAAGTGAAAGAGGGACAGAGGGAGAGGGAGGGGGAAAGAGAGAGAGGGAGGGAGGAAGAGAGAAAGAGAAAGGGAGGAAGGGAGGGAGGAAGAGAGAGGGAAAGAAGAGAGGGAGGGAGAGAGGGAAGAAAATAGGAAGAGGGAGAGAAAGAGATAGAGAAAGAAAAAAAAGAGGGACGGAGGGAGAGGGAGGGGGAAAGAGAGAAGGAGAGAGGAAGAGAGAAAAGGGAGAGGGAAAGAGAAGGAGGGAGGAAGAGGAAGAGAGAGGGAGGAAGGGAGAGAGGAAAAGAGAAAGAAAGAAAAAGGGAGAGAGGGAGGGGGAAAGGGAGAGAGGGAGGAAGGAGGGAAAGAGAGAAAGAAAGGAGCGAGGGAGGGACATTAAACATTCCAAGTTAGAAAAGGGCAAGGATGCCTGGACAGTCCAGTCTCTCCTTTGAGAAGATCCTCAGTCATCCAGGTCATAGTTATCCCAAAAGTGCTTTTTCCAGGAGGCAACTGGACTTTTTTGTTTTTCTTTGAAGATGTTTCGCTTCTCATCCAAGAAGCTTCTTCAGCTCTGGCTGGATGGTGGAGAATGGAAGGATTTATACTCCTTGCAGACCGCTGGTCGTTTGCCTTCTTTTAGAGGGTCGCTGAGGCCACTTGGAGGCTTATCTGTGTCCTCAGGGTCACCTGAGTGGTGCAAATGGGTGGGGAGCCTTCCTGGATCTGCGGAAAGGACGGTGTGGTAGAAGGTCCCCAGAAGGCTCCACACCCATTTGCACCACTCAGGTGACCCTGAGGACAGAGATAAGCCTCCAAGTGGCCTCAACGACTCTCTAAAAAAAATGCAAAGGACCAGCTGTCTGCAAGGAGTATAAATCCTTCCCTTCCCCACCATCCGGTCAGAGCTGAAGAAGCTTCTGGGATGAGAAGGGAAACGTCTTCAAAACAAAACAAGAAAGTCCAGTTGCTTTGTACAAAAGCACCTTTGGGTTTTCTTCTGGTTCTTGACCACCAAATTTATTTATTTTTTTGGACTCCTATGGTAAGTTGCTGCCCCCTTGTGTGGAGTTGATGCTCTACTACTATATGATTAATATTTGGAGAGTTAGCATCCGCAGACGCACAGAATCCACCCATCTTAAGCATTAGCTGCTTTGAATCTACAGCTATTTTGGAAACGTGTAGAGCAGGGGTCTTCCAACTTGGCCCTTTGATGACTGTTGGACTTCAACTCCCAGAATTCCTCAGCCAGGCACGCGTAGATATGGTAGATGTGGACCCTGTCATCCAAATTAGGGGTGATTTGGGTGAAGTTTACATCCTGTTGATATTGATAATGAACTGGGAGATGTTGATAATGAAGGTCACCAGCTTTAAGATGGATGTAGAATTTAGAATAACAGAGTTGGAAGGGACCTTGGAGGTCTTCTAGTCCAACCCCCTGCTCAGGCAGGAAACGCTAGACCATTTCAGGCAAATGGCTGTCCAGTCTCTTCTTAAAAACTTCCAGTGATGGAGCGCCCACAATTTCTGGTGGCAAGGAGTTCCACTGATTAATTGTTCCCACTGTCAGGAAGTTTCTCCTTAGTTCTAGGTTGCTTCTCTCCTTGATTAGTTTCCATCCGTTGCTTCTTGTCCTGCCCTCGGGGGCTTTGAAAACCATATTGTGTTTGTAGATGCATCATTTGTATTTGTTCTTTAATTAAAAATAAAAAATTTATATATATAAAAAAAACCATATTGCTCAATATTTCCTCCCCTCACCCCCATTTAATTCTGAGGAAGTAGAAAAACGAATTAACCTCCACCTTCAACTTGGTGTAAATGTATTCTTTGAAGGGAGATTGTCCTCGGTCTGGGATAGGGGATAGGTTGGCTTTAGTTTAACCTAATGACGTCCTGTGTTCATGCCACGTTGAGTCAATCTCTCTGCTTTCTTTCAGATCTATTTAAAGGAGATTTTGAGAGAAATAGGCATCTACAATTTCAAGGGGCCACACAAAAGTACTTGGGAACTGAAGCCGGAATACAGGCATTATCAAAATGAAGATAAAAGCGATTAGCAACCCGGAAGCCATCAACTTTAAAAAACAGGAGAAAGAAAACTTCCACTGTTCAAAGAGTAAGCTTTTGTAATCAGCCCTGCCTCCATTTGCTTAAAAGATTTTTTCTGGAATGCTATCTAACTTTTTAGCGGTATGTTTATTGCATACAAATTATTTATAGAATAAACTTGGGTTTTTAATGTATGGCCTTTTCTTGCAATTTCCTTGCATTTTATAAAAATATAACCATGTTAACAAACCGAGTAAGAAGTTTTATTTAATCCTGGGCTGGTATTAGCCTCTTGAGTCAGCCCATTATATGGAACAACAGAGAAATCTGAAAATACTTTAAAGACAGATACATTTATTCTAAAAATTATTTACCTTTAGGGATCCAGTTTGTACTTTTGGTTCCAAGTGACACAGCTACACTTTTGAATACTGTTTTCCAAGAACATATCCTGGGATGGCGAATCGCCTTTACATGCTTGTCGGAATAATTAGAAGTCGGACATATTTTCAATTGGCCATAAATGGATTTTAGAATGAGCCAGGTAGAAGAAACTTTATATTTAGGCACATAGCTTGATAGTGAAAAGAAGGGAAAAATAACCCCAATTAAAAGCAAACAATTCTGGACATAATCTTAATGTTCTGTTTCCATTGAGAACGCAAATCAGCTGGCGTTTCTCTTGTGGCCTTCAAAATTAGTTCTGGAAGGTTGATGAAACGTAGAACATAGAATAACGGAGTGGGAAGGGACCTCAGAGGTCTTCTAGTCCAACCCCCTGCTCAAGCAGGAAACCCTAGACCAGAGGTGTCAAACTCACAACGTCACGTGATGTGTCATGACGTATCGTGACTTTTTTTCCCATTACCGGCAATGGGGTGGGCGTGATATTTGGCATGACGCATCCGGTCCATGGGCCGGCAGTTTGACACCCCATTTCAGACAACCTCAATACTGCTGGCAGAAAAACCTCATAGACACAGTCCTGAAAGGACTCAGGAGGCCGTACGGGTCTGGATGGGGAGGAACAGACTCAGGCTCAACCCTTCCAAGACCGAGTGGCTGTGGTTGCCAGCGCCTCGGCATAGTCAGCTGACACCATCGCTGACTATAGGGGGCGAAACTTTGGCCCCCTCGGAGAGGGCGCGCAACTTGGGAGTCCTCCTGGATTCGCGGCTGGCACTGGATGACCATTTG